CGTTTCGAAGCCTTTAAGTATAGGTGATTGGTCACTCTTTTTTTATATTATATATATAAACAAAGATCGGCACCAGTGCTTGATTTGACCAGTACAACCTCGCTTAAAATGCGGATTCGCTGCTGCCAACACCGCATAATATGCAGTTTCGGTGTTAAAATACCGCCATGTTTGTTACGAGTAGTAGCAGACAACACACACAAATATGCGGCGTACAGAGCCAAACTTTAAAAATGTATTTCTTCTACTTTTATGCGCAGCATTCCTGCACATTCTTTCTTGGTACTGTGCTTCCAAAAATACGTCAAGTGTTACTTAGATGAATGCCAATATAAAGGAAAAGGATTAAAAGCTTACTGCTCCCTTAGCTTATTTTCTTTTAGCCTCCCCTTTTTAAGCGCTTGTCGTTACTGAGAAAAAGAACCCACCAGATCCTAACGTCACCAATAGTTTAATGGGTTTAGATTTGTATAATACTTTTATAATACTTAAACAAATTTTATTCTGTTAATCAGTTTCTAAAAATCGGATCTTTATTTGTTGTTAAACGCGATTAAAACTCAAACCTCTGGGATAAGATCACTCCAGATATTAACCGCTTTTTCTAAGTCACTGAATTGTATTCAAAAGCCATTTTATTCAAAATCTATTAGTTTTCAGTTGCCAGGAATAAAAACAGTTTGCCGTTGAATCATTGAGAATACCTCCGCTAACCACATGCCGATTAACCGACCGATGTCAACCAACTTTCAGCAGGGACTGTCTTGCAATCACGTTGATCATCTGACAATGGAGCTATGGAGCTGCTGTGGGGCCCTTTAGCAATTGGTGTTGCAATCGCGCGGGATGCAACTGCAGCTCAATTGATGCGATCGCGATGGTCCAGCGATCGGGGACTGGCCGCAAATTAACTTAATGCTTGATTGCAAATCTTGGCGCTTTGTCGACACGTTGTGTTCACCGGCCAATTCTAATTGCTAACAAATGCTGTCGTGTTGTTCTTACTCCCCGGCGGCGTGACTAAAACGCAGTGATTCCCCCTACTTTTACCCTCAACCCCCCTCAAATGGCTTGGGTGTGCAGTCAATTAAGCGTAGTACGAGTAGTTTCCAGCGGCAAACGTGCAATGGGGCGTGGGCAAAAATAAAACAGTGCCTGGGTAAAAATAAAGTGGTGATGGAATGGGACACTGCTCCAATTGTGGCAGCGAGGGCCCCGTTATGATGACATCTCCATTCCCATATACACTGGAAAAGCAATCTATTAAATCAACATTATCTGCAGTTTTTACAACCCAACAAATTTGAAATACTAGGAGTTTTTAAGAACTCCCATTGGTTGTCCTGAAGTATAAACTGGCAAAGGATAATGTCTATATAATAAAATATATAACATTTAACCAGATAATTGACAAAACACTTCAGACATAGTATAAAAAAGAAAAGTATTATTTTTCAGGTATAGCTAACAAAATGTATGTAAATTTTAAATGGAATATTTTTTAAACCGAGAGTAACAACTTTTATCGAAAATGCTAAACATCCCTCAATATGATCGCAATCATTTATTTAGGCTTCTGCAGATATATATATTTTCTATATAAGAAATTGCTGCTCAGCAATTTTGTGAAATTATAAATGATAAAATAAATCATCTTATCAAACTACTTTTAATTTTAACTTTAACTGTGCACAGCTGCATCGACACCTAATCAGCTGGCCAATGATCGCAATGCCACCAAGCATGAGTCATCCGTGATAAGAGGGCCGACTGTTTATCGGGTGTCGGCTGCACTGGAAACTTTCGCCGTCCGACTCGACTTTACGATAGTGATGATGATGATGATGTCATTGATGCAGGCGCAACGTCATTGGAAGTGCAACGAGCGTCTGCATGTGTGTGTGTGTATGTGAAGGTTCATCAAACTGCTTGAATAGTGTGCGTGCATGACGGCGATTAGCCAAAGTTTTTGACAAAAAACGCGCAAGTGTCGCGGCAGACTCACTGGCTTGCTGCACAGTGGGTGTCGTCGGTGCCCCGAGTGAAAGTGGAACTCTGCTGCTAAAATTAACCACATGCATTTGCAGTGCCCCACCCGACACTCACCCCTCCCCCCTCCTGCTGCCAGCAGCCGTCACAAGTGGCGCTGGCTTTTGTTGCTGTCTTAATTGCTGCCCGTTCCTCTGCGTCTTCCCAACTCTTCCCCACTACGCCGACCATTTGTTGCTATTTTTTGCATTTCCATTTGCGCTTAGTCAGACTGGGCGGCAGTCGTAGCTGCCTCTGCACCATATAGTTGCCGGGTATTACGATTTCAAAAGGATTTTAAATCTTATCCAATAAAATCTGTAACTTACTGATAAACAAGTGTTATAGTTTTGAGTCACATATAACTAGAATGTTTTGTCAATATTAGACTTTTTCCTTAAAAAGTAGGCCAAAGATTGGATATTTTTAATAAGAAGTAAAACTCTAAATATTTTTATCGCTAAACTCGTTAAAGTTTTCTATGAAAGATAAACAATGCTCGACGCTTTTCTAAATGTCTTTAAGTTTTGTAAACGTTTCATATTTCCCCTAAAATATCTTAGAAAGTGTTTTGGTCACCTCTTGAGAAAGATAAGGGAATTGAACTTGTATTTATATTCTGATTGTAATCCGAAAAATATCTTTAAAAATTAAACTAAAAAAGGTTCTTGCTGATTCATTTGTATCTCAGTGATACGTTTTAGTAAAACCCATTTAGGGCAATCAAATCATTCTTTTAAAGTGCATTGAGTAACGGTGATCAAAATAGTCATTCGAGTGCCAAATTTTGTTTCCAAATTAACTTTTCGGATGTAAAAGCTTTCATTAAGTATAATTATTGTTTTAGCGTTTCTAGAAGCGACAGTCGAACGATAGTTTAGCAAAATGTTCACAAGCGGTTGAAATGGGGAATCGAGTTTTATATTATTAAAACATAAATTGATATTACCAAATGTTTTACTATTGTATGTTAAAAAATAAAGTTAAAAAGATATTTTTATTTCCTTTCCGTTCTTTTAATCGTTTTGTTGGAGTTGCTGCTTTACATATTGAAAATGTAATTATGTGCGTTGGTAGCAATAAAAACAACAATACAAAAAATAGCCAATGTTGTTCATATTTAATAGAGTATTCAAGAAGTGAACCAGCTTCCATTTTTCACAAATGATTGCCGTCCAATTGGCATGTTTGTTCATCACCCAATTGGTGTTTATACGAGCGGCTGTTTTGCGATCGTGGCCAAACAGCTGTTGGCTACCAAGTTATCGCGGCATTAGCTGACGCATAAGCGCGATCAGTGAGCATGCGTATATATGTGTATGTGTGTGCTTCATTCCAGTGCATTTTTCATATTTTTGTCACTAATTGGTGTTGGCTAAGTTTTGCTGCTTAACCCATTTGGGGAGCAACCGAAATAGCTGTGCGTGGGGGCGTATGCTGCGCTCTCTCTCACTCGCTCGCTCACACTTTCCAAGACGCCGCTGGAGGTCGCTTGTTTTTCACACTTGCTCTCGCTCACACACACGAAATGAACCGTAATTCTGCGCTCGGCTTGGGCCGAATGGAAGCCACGTTTATGGCTGGCAATATTCCGTATTTCAAATATCATCTCATTTTGGCGCCCTCTAGCGCTTCACCCCTATCTACTCCCCCTTCCGCCATCACCAGTAACTTGTTGCTTCTGCCAGCAACAATTGGCACATTCTCTCTCCTTTCCCCCTTTCTCTTTCTCATTAACCTGGCTGCTCTCTCGCCTTCACTCTCATGCAGCGTAAACAAGTGAGAGCCGGAAAAGCCACACAAATTACACGCAAATACGAGGAAAGGGAAAAAGAAGGAAAAACACATAAAAAACAATTAATACAATCAAGTGCGAAACAACAAATTCGACTACGAGTTGTTTGATTTCTTTCGCTCGTTTTTGCAACGTTTTTCGGCACTGGCGCTGCCAAAGACGCTGCTTCGCTCTCTTTATTCCCTTTTTTGGGTGTTGGACTCATATAACACGGTGAGCGAGCGGGAGAGCAGATGGCTAAACTTTTATAGCGGTACTCTTCACATGCACTGCGTTCGCCGCTCCTCTCGCATAAGAAAGCACGCACACTAGCGCACGCACGCCACATACACACACGCACGCATACAGTTGCAAAGGCGGCTGTCGCACTTATTTTTTACCGTGATTTTTAATGATTTTGTAATACGCGCGTTTATTACTTAAGCGCCGGATTTGCATCGGCCACTCTCAACGTTATTAGGAAAATGCACAGCTGCCGCTGACACCGAGCAGGAATATTTATATGCCGCTAAAATATCGGCTGTGATTCATTTGCCTAGCGCACCGCTTGACATTTAATGTGGCAGCGCAAAAGCGGCCGCAAGAAACCAAAATACCACCACTCACTTATTTATCACTCCACTCACTGGGGCCAGCGCATTCAGCGGGGGATTTCTACCAAAGATTTTGCACACGACTGGGAACTTAAGGCACTAACTACTTCAAGACTTTTCAGTCAGCAGAAAGACGGGACGAGTACAAAATGCCGACGAGAGCGCGCAGAGCATCTAAAAGCAAGTTCGACACTGTTGTTCGGGGCGAGTTGTTGATATCAGCTCAGTGAATGCCAGGCGCTGAGTTCATCCGCTTGGCGTTGCCACCTACGAAAATAGCTAGATATAACTAGGGTTCATTTCTATCTCCCTAAATGAACCCAAAGCTGCCCCGAATCTTAATATTACTACTATGACGCCTTATTTTATTTTAAAATATATTCCAAACCTTTAGTGAACGATGTAATGAATATGTAAATATTACATGTAAAAATAAATAAAACATTAAAACTTTATTACATTGTTTTTGTTCATTATTTGCGGTTTTTGAAGCGGCATTGTCAATTTATATTTGTACTTTCTAAAATCTAAAAAGGACTCAATTTTATTAATAACATAAACACATTTATATTTGCTCCCAAATTTAAAGTGTAATTTGTGTTTTATTTCTTGAATTTAATTATTCCCAGCAAACAATAATAGCTAAATGTAAGCACTGGAAAAAGCCAACAAATTGGCAACAATGCACGGCGTTAAGCGCCTGAAATAGAAACGGCCACTCTAAACAGCTGACTGCGCGCGTCTCATTTGAATTTCCGGATGGTTTTCTTTTGTAACTGAAATGGGTAAACTTTAACTAGGATATTGTTGCAAGCCGATGTTACGCACATTTTTCAGGCTCCATCAAGCAACGCAATATCTCTCCAAAGGGATGTTCCAGCAGCACGGCCACTAAGGCAGCCAACATTTGAGTGAGCATAAACACCATCAACACATTGCACAGCTAAAAGTGAGTTTAAAAATATGTACATATGTATAAAACAAGCTTATACAAGAGATATGCTCACCAGGTAGAAGCTGGACACATAGACCGGCTGCCTAAAGTAACCCGCCACAACTCTGAGGACTACAATGTGCCAGAGAAAGGACTGAAAGGAGATCCTTGCCAGTGGTCGAAAAACTGGCAATGTGCAAAAATCATATGCCATACCTGTCGGAGATTCGTGAGTGGTCGGAAACCTTAAATAAAATCCATAATTTAACCCACCTCCAACCTTGGAGCACATGAGAAGCACGAATCCCGCGCAAATCAGGAGCCAAAAGTTTTTGTGGAGACCTGCATACAAGGCCAACCAAAGAGATGGCTTTGCAAAGTCATGGTTAATAAAAATGTAACCGGAGAAAAGTACTCCCAGCGTGGCCAGCACAAGCAGCCACATAGCCAGTTCGTATTTTAGATGTCCTTGGAACTCTAATTTTTTGGAACGCTGCTTAAGATAAACATGACCACACATAAAGCCGAATAAGTAGCCTCCCAAATTCGTATAGAAGGGTGGATACATCTGGTAAAATGTGTCTGAGTGCCGAAAGTACAAATAGCGATAGGTCCTAAGGACAAAAAAAGTTTAAAAAGTTTAGATTCTGTTAGAAAATGTTAAAAAACCCACTCCGGTCGAAGATGGTAAACAGCGTCCAATTCGAGAATGTAGGTCAATACAGCAGGTACTGCAAAGGCAAGAGCCGAAAGAATTGCGTAGATAGTCTTTTTCAGTTTGGGATGTCTAAGAACACAATCATTAATTAATATTCGAGCATGAGAAATAAACTCACTTGTTGGTTAAAACAATCACGATAAGGAAGAGCTCAAATAGCTGCATGTCCGCCCCCAAATACCAGGTCTGGTGGGAACACTGCAAGGAAAAAATGTTAGGAAAGCAAACCAATCCCGTCACATACCATGTTGCAGACTAAACCAATATTTGCTGAAACTCACTATTTTAAAAATGTAAGAATACCTACACTGTCCTCCAGCATGTGGTTGGTCACAAAGAAAACGTTCTTCCACCAATTACTTCGGCAGAAAACCCTCTCTGCTTCCGTTAGATGCCGCCAAAAGGGTCCGTTTTGCAGCCTCACTAGCAGAGTTCCATTAAACAGGATAAGAGTGAGGAGCGATGGAAGGAGCCGGAAATATCTGTAGAAAAACACACGGAAGTACACGCCAATGCATTCGAGGGTGTCAGTCTTAGGTTGAATCAACTGGCGATCGGTAAACTTCACGTAGAGTAGGAAGCCGCTCATCACGAAAAATATCTGAATGACCAGGCTGCCGTTCTGGAATATCGAGGTCTCGAACCTGAAGAGGAATTGTTCGTAGAACTCAGGATTTTCTATCGGGACAGTCATGAAGACCATCAGCGTGTGTCCCAGGATCACCATGAACACTCCGATTACTCGAAACCCGTCAAAGAAGCTCATATCTCGCGTGAAATCTGAGACATGTGGCTGAGTCAATCGATAGTAATTTCGGACCACTGAAAAGGAGGTGAGAAGCTGCTGTCCTAGTGGAAATGTGAAGTAATTTTAAAAATGCCTTTTTCCAGAGTTAGCATGCACTTACGACGGCTTTTTAGCGCCTCGCTATAGAAGTTTTCTGTCGGCTGCGGAGTTAGCCTGCTCAGTCGGTAGTCGTGGATAGAGGAACACAAAGTTAAGAGGAGTATACAGACCACAAGACCGTAAAAAGTAAGATCAAGTCCATCTGATGAAAGTTTATAAGTTTAGAATTCTATGTTTTAGAGGGCAAACTCGCTATATACCCTCTACTCTACTTACCCTGCTCCAAGTGGTCAACCGCCGGCACGCAATACTCGATAAGGCTGCGAACTCTTAGCGAGAACTTCTCCCCAAACTCAACATTTAGGCATCTGTTCACCAACTCTTCGTGGAGAATGCGTACATCGTCATCAGCAGTTCGGCGGTGCACCTTGGCGTAGTAGGATCTGAGTTCCTCGTCCATGATTGCCCCCCTTCCAAGCTCAATCGAATCAGATAAAAAACCAAGGCTTTGCTTGCAAGTTTCTAGACACACACCTCTGAAGAGGCGATCATGACGAAAACGATGCTTAGAATCCTGCGACAGTTCGTTGATTTGGTTCCACAAAGAAGAGCTAGCATTGGGTAAAATCTCCACATACACCAGGCAATAGCTGCCTGAAGAGCTATCCAGACACAGATCGTAGTCATCCAGATGGTGCAAAGCTGGCATTTGCCTGTAGAGGGTCACTGCATACGAAGCGCTTCCTAAGTAATCTCTTCAGGCTGCTGTTCCCGCTACTTACAGTTAAATGAGCCATCTGAGAATCCCCCTTTTACCAAGGAGATAAACACCAAAATAACACAAATATTCAGTAAACGGAGCATACTTTGAGTGTCTGGCCTAGCACTTGAAGATCAACTAATGGGAATCTTTGCTCGATTTGCCAAACTAATTCAGCGATAGCGTGCTAAGCCGTCAGGCCTGAATGCGCTTTCCAAAAGTATTTCTATAAATTACTTCGACTTGACGAAATCACAGCTATTAAATGGCAGTCGTTTATTTTATTCCATTGAACTTAAATTTACTTCCTTTTTAGCTTCGGATTGCCTAACCCAAATGCCGACCAGTGAAGATCGGTAGATCGATATGAGACTTCACGTAGAAAGCGAAAGGATGGTTAGCGATGAAGTGTTTCCGCCTGAAGCCCGCCACGGGCATAATCCGGAATCCTGCGGAGGGACCATGGAATCGATGGAGAATTTTAGACACTTGGTTTTGGGCTTTATTGAGACCACATGCTTGGTTAGTACAAAAGTTGTATGTGTAAATATAAGATCATCGATTATGCGCAGTCTTAAGCTTATCAAATTTGGTTTGTGCATATATAGTTGGTTAGTAGAAGGCACCCAGGATAGATTATAGTTTCTTTATGCTGCCAGCGAAAAGAGCCGTTGAGTCCTTGTTGAGAATGTAATAGTTAAATGGATGATCGACATGGAAACGTTTCGGATCCGGCTCCGGCATGGGCATCGAGCAGCGCATCATGACCATACCTGTAAATTGAGATGACAGTGGAGTTCAGTTCAATGTACATGAGAACATTGTCGGATGTTAATGGATCTATGACTTCAGAAGTTAAGGATTCTTCCCGCAAATAGTTTGGCAGAATCCTTATTGATTATGTAATAGATAAATGGATGCTGAACATGGAATCGGATGGGCTCCGGCTCAAACGAGATCATCGTGGCGTAGCACATGACCATTCCTGAAAAATGAACATCAAAGTCGGTGTTGAAGTTATAAACAAGGCAAGGTGATTCAACAAGACACATGGTTATGCGTGGAATGTTCGGATAAATCTTGGAAATGTAATTCTTCCCAGGCGAGTTTATTGTTTAATGAATTTCGATGTTTTGGTTCATTACAGATTACCCCAAAGTTTTTGACAAATTCACAAATATTAAATAAAAATCTGCTTTTATTGGTCGGACATAAGATAAAGTACCATCACAGCTCATCATGCTCGCTGGAAGGAATGTCATTTTCCTCGAGCTGCACTACTGAGCCCCAAAACAGGGGCAGGTCCTCCTGATGCAGAAGGGCATACGTGAATGGACGATCGGCGAGGAACTCAATAGGTTCGTCCAGCGAGATTACCGATCGCTTTAGACGCACCACAACGCCTGCGGGATGGGAAGAAGACAACACAGACACGAATGAACAAATGGAACATGCAAAGGATGATGGATGCTACGAAGTAACCAAAATTCTTGAAACACTTACCGGTGGCAGCCGCAGCTTCTGTTCCCTCCTCGTTCACATCGATAAAGGCCTTGTGAATGATGGCCGATACTTTCAAGGGCTCTGAACTTTGCAGCATCTTGCCGAATTCAGCTTGGTCGCTGAACATCCTTGACATGCCCAGCTGCGGGAGAGATTTTAGAGGATTTAAATCGATTTTCTTCTTTATATTTCTTAAAAAAAGCTCACCTTTCGGAAAACGTCCGTCAACTCCACTTGGAACTCGGCCTTGAACTTAGGCAACTTAACTACTACCTGGGTTTTGTGTAGCGCTTGCGTGATCTGCGAGAGTGTCGTGAGGCGTAGTTTCTCCTCCAGGGCGGATAAACCCGTTTTGCTGTTGGGCAGAACGATCAGCATGGAAAGGTCCGAGTCCTTGTAGGGCAGCTCTAGAGCCGTGGCGTCCAGCGCTGGCAGATCGGCATAGCGGAACCGCTCCTTCAAGCCCATCATTGGAACCTGGACACTACGCTTGTCATCCAGATGAAAGGTATCTGGTCTCGTGGCATGCTTGGGGAACTGGTGCAGCCAGGTACCTTTGAAGTGAATGGCATTAACCAGGACCAGTCGCGAATCGGCGTTTAGTACGCTAGACGGCACTAGGTCCTTGATGAGGTTGTTCGTGCGCTGCTCCACCCACCCGTTGATAGTGGCCGCCGCCTGGACGTTTTTGGCGAAGTCTACGGCTTGGGCCGCAGAGAGGAACTGTTTGGTCAACAACTCATCAAACTCCTGGCGTAGTGCATAACCCTCCATCACAAATATCTTATTTGCGATGCGCAGGATCTGGCTGTCCTGGTAGGTAGCCAGCACCTGGTGGAAGCTCTGAGCGATTTGTCCCGCGTCGTTAGAGGCCAGGCCCAGACCGTGGTCCAACTGGGTGGCAGTCTCGCCCTCTGCGCCCAATCTGGCCATCGCCGCACAAGTTTGGATGGAAAAGGGCGAGAAGACGATGTTCTCGCCAGGCTTCTGCTCTGACAGCTTGCCGTAGACATTGATAGAGAAGAGGGCCAAACGGCGGGCGAACTCTTGATTGGCGGCGTCGGCCATGGTGACGTCAGATGAGCTGACCAGCGGGCAGAGGGAGAGGGCAAGGAAGAGCAGGGGGAGCAACCAGCAAGCTGTAAGTATCCAAATCGACCGTGGATGAGGTGTGCTTGGTTTCATAAATTTATGTAATTGCAGTGGACTGATGAGTCACCTCCACGTATGGTGTACAAAATATCGCTCGGGAATGCCGTTTCGCCGGGGATTCACTTGGCTTCGCTTATCGGAAACGAATATTTATAACCTGTAGCAATCGCTAATTCTCTAGCTTTCTCCAGCGCCTTCAATATGGAACTTTTTATTTTCTGTTTACTCTGTTTACGCCCTGGACTATATGATATGGGATTTAAGCAACAACTGAATGTTCTCAACAAGCTCCCATTGTTTTTATGCCCGCATATCTACTAGTCCGCAAAGTTTTCTCTTTAATTTATATTCCCAAACGGGTTTTTCTCTTAAAAAGTAGCTTTCTCTGTGTTTTGTGTTTCTCATCAATGCTCTCTGTTTGGTTTTGCCTCTTTAAATTTATATCTCGCCGCTCTTTGTTTCACTTTTTCCTGATTTCTTTGATATCATCAAATAGGATTACTTACCACATGAACCCAAAGGTGTCTCCATTCTTCTATAATTTCCGATATATTGATAATAAATCTTGATTGCTGAATGAACTTGGTCTTCGAAGCGTGCGTAATAGACTGCCCTGGCTTCAGGTTCGCACTATTGGCTGGGCCCTTATCAGTCAAAGCTCCGCTTGAGCTTGTTTTTGTCTTCGACAGTGATGAGACTTTTTCAACACACTGATAACGGAGCAATGCTGAAACTCAAATTATTTTCCATCCTAATTTGTTTACCACAATTGATTAATTTTTGGTTCAGAAATTATTGGTAGAGTGAGGTAATCTAAGAGTCTAAAAGCTCGTTAGACCCCCTGCATTAGCGAATGAAAAATGTTTGTTGTTTTAGAAAACATTTAATTAATCTTTTGGACTCTTAAAAATGTCCGCTAGACGTATGATTGGTAATGATGACAATGGATGATTTAGCTGAAAGCTAGTGAATTCAATTCAATTCAATTATATTATATATATTGACTGTATTTGTACAATCCTCAGGAGGTGCATTCGTTCCCATAGGTACATCTATCACATTTTTCATCTTTGTCATCCTTATTAGTGGTAAAGTGCCCGGCAAAGAGTATTCCATGGGTCTTATCATATATCGCATAGAAGAAGGGTCTATTAGCGTGAAATACCTTTGGCAGAGGTTGAGGGGCAGGCATACTCCTCATTGTGACAACTACAGCTAAATTTTTGAATAAAAATTGTATTTAATAATGAATTATTACTTATCTATACCGATGCCCTGTAACATAGTTTAAAATTTGGGATTATTAATGGATTATTAGTCCTTGCTAATTTCACTATATCTATGAAACCCCTTTATTTTCAGACTCACCAGTTGCCGCTGCAGCTTCAGTGCCCACTTCGTTGACCTCGATGAAGGCCTTGTGAATGATCTTTGAGACAAATAGCGGCGCCGGAGACTTCAACATTGCTCCAAACTCCGCCTGATCGCCAAAAATGCGGTTCATGTCCATCTGTGAGGAGTCAGGATGAAAAAATACATTCAGACGGATGTATCACAAGATGTTGACTAACCAGCTTAAAAGCCTGGGATAGTTCCTGCTGGAACTCAGCCTTAAAACTAGGAATTTTCACATCAACTTTCTCCAAGTTCATGGAAGATGACAATGCCTGTAGTGAAGTGCCTGGTAGCTTTTGCTCTAGGCTAGTGAGATTAGATTTCTCATCTGGCAGTATGAAGATCATGGCCAGATTGCAGGCACTGTAGTCCATTTTGAGGGCAGTGGCTTCGAGCTTGGGGAGCACGACAAAGGAGAAGCTATCGGACACGTGCATCATTCTCACCATGACAGGTTTCCCGGGCCCGAAGAATTTCTCTTCATGAGTGTGGCTTTCCTGGAATTTAATTGACCAATTTCCTTTGAAGTGAATAGCATTTATAAGTAGCAGTCGAGAGTCCTGGGATAGAACTTTAGGGCTGATAATATCCTTTACAAGATTGTTGGTCTGGGATTCTACCCACTTGTTGATTATACTGGCCGCTTGCTTACTCCCAAAATCAATTTCCATTGGCTTGGAGTGGAACTTCTTTTCAAGAATGTTGGCGAACTGCCCACCAACTTCAAGACCGTTCATCACATAAAGTCCGTTGACCATTTTAAGGACTCTGCACTCTTTGTATGACTTAAGCACAGCATCGAAGCTGTCGGCAACCTCTTGTAAATCTCGACCATAGAAACAGAGTCCCTCATCCAACTCCTTGGCTGTGGCCGATCCTTCCGTTGCTCCCATCCGCAGCATGCCAGCAGAGGTTCGAATGGACAGCGGGGAGTAGATGATATTCTGGCAAGGATTTGCATGGCATAACTTGTCATGCAGTCTATAGGTGAATTCTTCCAAGCCCGCCGAGAACTCCGCATCTTTCATGGTGACGGAAGTCAGGGAATTTGTATTGCTTGGAGATTGAAGAGTCAGTGGGTACTCTTTTTTTTAGAAGCACAAGAGTAAATAATGAGAACTGGACTGATATGTCTGATAAGACCCTTGGTTTGAGTAATTATTATAATAAGAACCAAGATAAGCTATCAGCCTGCCGATTTGCGGATATCTTGATAGGAAGCTTCTGTACCATTAGGGTAATGAGCTGGCTCTCTCCCGCAAGAGCACACTCCCACTCCAAGCTCTCTTGGAATTTATCTAATCGTGGCACAGCTCGTTCAGTTCTGAGTCACAGTGATTCCAGGCGTTAGTCAGTTCCACGCCTTTTGACAGACACCACGCACCTACTCCAGCCGCCTTCGATTGGTTATTTTTTCCGGTGTAAGTTATCAGGAAAACCTTAAGGTCAATGTCGATCTCCACCTGCTTTACTAGTCGATTCAGCTTGTCAGTGTCCACTGGGAAATGTCATTCTGCGTTTTATATTGATTTAATCTGAATCGTAGGTATTATAAATAATACCTGAACTTACCTGGTAGACTAGGTTATGGTAAGCCAAATCTTTAGCATTCCACGAAACAGATAGAATGTTTCACCTGTTCCACTATCTTTTGTGGTTTCTGACTTATAAGCAATACGGGAGTGTATATAAACATCAACAACTTTATCAGTTGACGCGAATTTTTTATCTTTTAATTTGATTTCATGGCTTTTGCTATAAAGAAATTTAATGTGACGACAGCGAATACTGGGGTTAGGCTCTTTAGTACTTAAAAAAGTTGCTTATTGGATATTTATAATATATATATGATGTTTAAGTTATAGGAATATAATTTATATTGCAGATAAAAAGAATGTTGTAGTAGTTCGATTCTAATACGTCATCCAGGGAATCAACAATTTGGTTCTGTGAACTTTCGAAATGTAGCTTTTGAATACTGGATGAGTATTTTTAAGTATGATATTCATTATTCTAATACATGGGGTTTATCTATGCTGAACTATTTCTTCTTCCGCAGTTCAAGATGTGCGATCCCCAAGAGAGCAGAAATTCGTTTTCCCGCCTCCTGGTTGATATCATTACCAAGAATGCCTTGCAGGAAAGTGAAAAGCCCCACATTAACACCGTGTTCTCACCGGCGTCCGTCCAAAGTTGTCTTACTCTGGCTTTTATAGGATCCTCCGGATCGACGGCCGAGGAGCTGAGGAATGGACTGCACCTTGGTCCAGGGGATCGCCATCACATAGCTCGAACGTTTGGGGAGTTCTGGCGGACGAACTGCAACTACGGTGACAGAGGACCCATTCTAAAGTCCGTGAACCGCTTGTACGTTAACGATGCCTTGGAACTGCACCCGGAATTCAATGAGATTGCCGGAGACTTCTTTCAATCGAAGGCTGAGACGGCAAAGTTCGCCGATTCGGAGGGTGCCACGCAACAGATCAACGACTGGGTGGAACAGGAGACGGAGCACAAGATCAGCAATCTGCTTCAGTCGGACGCCGTAAATGACGAAACGAGCGCCGTCATTATCAACGCCTTGTACTTCAAGGGAAAATGGCTGAAACCTTTTATGCCAGAGGCCACATCACTGGACATGTTCCACATGGACCAGGACTCTCATGTTGGGGTAAACATGATGTACCAGGAGGACAAGTTTCGGTTCGCCGATCTTCCCCAGCTGAAGGCTCGGGCTGTGCAGCTCCCCTATGAATACTCGAACATCCACATGCTTATCCTTCTACCCAATGAAATCTCCGGACTGAAAGATTTGGAGTTGCAACTCAAGGACGTGGACCTAGCCGATATCGACGCAGCTATGACCTTAGAGGATGTGGAGATTTTCCTGCCCAGGATGAGCATAGAGTACGACGTGGACCTCAAAAATATACTACATCAGGTAATTTTGTCCAATAAAATCTTAGTTTAGATGCATGGAATCTTTAAATAATTTAATTAAATCATTTTAATCATTACTAATTTTAATGTTAATCAACAGCTGGGAATTGCTGAAGTCTTCAGCGACAAGGCCAGACTAGACGGACTCTTTACCTCGCGAACTGGCCAAAAGATCTCGGCGGCAAGGCACCGCGGCTACATCGACGTTAACGAGGCTGGATCAGAGGCAGCAGCCGTCTCTTGTAAGTGGTACTCCGACTGATTCTCCTCTACTGATATTTACATCCACTTGCAGTCATGAAGATCGTACCCATGATGCTGAACTTGAACACAAAGCTCTTCAAGGTGGATCACCCGTTCGTTTTCTACATACGCAGCCCACAGGCTGTCTTCTTCGCCGGACGATTCTCGAACCCAAAGTCTGGAGAAGAGGAGGAGGGCGCATCGAGGAACGGTTCCAATGCTAGCATGTACAATGTCCAAGAACGGCAGTGAGACCAAATAAAACTCAGCTAGGAAATCCCAACCGCAATCGTTGATTTTCAATCTAAGAGAGTTGGGTGCGCAGTACTCAGTAAGGTAACAAAGTGCTTCTTTCAGTGGGTACATATACGAGCATGTCCAGTGCATATATAAGCTCGTTCTGGCACTCTCAGCTCAGTTTACAAAGGTACTGATCTCGGAGACCAGTTCGTTGGAGGCTGTCAAATGTATTACTTGTGTAAGTGCCGATCGCAAAAAGTCAGCAAAATAAGCTGAGAAAATAGATTTATGGGAAACCCAATCAGCGATTAGAAATAGCACCGAGCTTAATTGATGTACTAGTTGCATTTATTAATAGGTTGGAAATAATATATATTTAACGCTTAACTTGTTCGAAATCGTGTGTGAAAATAAGTGAAAAAGTTAAAAATAAATTGATAATTGTTCTTCCTACACTAGGCCTGATTCTGTGGGTCACTTCGGTGGCCTGCCAAAGCTCTGAGGAGATCTACCAGATCCTATCCAAGAGCCACACCAACCAGAACATCATCATCTCGCCGGTTTCAATAGAGACCATCCTAAGCATGGTTTACATGGGAGCTGGAGGAACGACAGCCCAAGAGTTGCAGACAGTTCTGAAACTGCCTTCCGGGGACAAGCAAGCGGTGGCCACCAAATATAAGGAACTCCTCAACCGGATTCAAGGGCAGGACCAGGGGCCCACATTAAATCTGGCCAACCGCATCTACATTAATGATCAGTTAAGCCTGCTACCGGATTACAATCAGGCTGTGAGAGAGCCCTTCAAGGCCGAGGCAGAGTCCATTAGTCTGGCCAATGGCCCGGCGGCGGCTGAGGGAATCAACAAATGGGTACTTGACCACACCAGTGGTAAGATCACGGACATGATTGATCCCGGCAGCATGACGGCCGATGTCAAGGCCTTGCTGGTAAACGCCATCTACTTCAAGGGCCAGTGGGAGTCCAAGTTTAACGCATCCAAAACCAGATCCGACACCTTCCAAGTAACCGCCGAAAAGAGTGTTCCCGTCCAGATGATGGTCCAGACGGGGAACTTTAAGGCAAGCTACTTCAAAGACATAGAAGCGCAAGTAATAGAACTGCCGTACCTGAACTCCAAACTGTCCATGACAATCTTCCTGCCCCGAGAAGTTGGTGGCCTGAGCGCTCTGGAGGAGAAGATCGTTGGCTTTAACAGGACGCTGGTGGCCAGGGAGGTGTTTCTAAAGCTGCCCAGGTTCAAAATCGAGTTTCATGACGATCTTAAGGAAACCTTAGAGAAGGTAAGCTAGCTCTAAAAATATCTGGTTTCGCCACTTAATCACTCAATTGCAGTTGGGCATCCGAGAGCTTTTCACCGACGACTCAGACTTAAGCGGCTTGTTCTCCGATAAGTCAGGCGGAAAAGTCAGCCAAGTCTCGCACAAGGCGTTCCTGGAGGTGAACGAGGAGGGAGCAGAGGCCGCCGCTGCCACATGTACGTAGAGATTCGGTTATCGCCGATCTATATATAGTACTACTCACTGTTTACGTTAATCCACAGCCGTAACTGTCACGAATCGAGCGGGCTTCTCCATGTACATCGCCGCGGATCATCCCTTCGCCTTCGTTATTCGCGATGCGAACAACATATATTTCCAGGGCCGTGTCATTAGCCCCTAAATAAAAGGCAATTTAAATGGAAATTGAGTTATTGTATCATTAAGTATAAGGATTTAAGACTGGCACTCTTATAGGCTCTGCAACTGAATGCTTGGGGTAACCTTTGAAATTTGAAAACTCTATGAAGTATATGATCTGTAATCTAACCATCGCCAAATGTCAGATTTATTTGACTTCGAAATAATATCTATAGTAAAATTTAACTTTAGGAATTACTTTTATTTATTAATTTTATATTTTATTTATTCTAAATTTCATTTTTCATATTATTATTTATTCAGATATCTTTCCTTATCTGTTTTTAAAAATATCTCGTTTTAAAGTTAATGCCAAGTTGGCGCTCTATTTTTAGAGTCAGTGTGGATCAGCGGATTCTCCAGTTGTGGTTTTGCTTTCGAGCTGTTATGCTGAAGTCACGGTATATAGTAAATCGAAAGGGAAGACAGAGATCATAATAATTGTAACAGCAAAGAGTGTATTACAGATATCGGACTTAGAGATTTTTTCAAGACAGAAATTTTACATCTAATATATTATAATCTTAATATTTAGGAGTAGGTCATTTTTTTTCAAACTAGAGTTTGGAAAATCAATTCTTATTGTTAAAGTAAAATTTTTGATTTTAATTTTAATTTTATTGCATTTAAAAACTCTAAAAACGGAACTGTAGTCCGAGCAACAATACTACGTAGCCAATTATTTTCATAGATTATTTTATTTTTTACAGTTAAGTTTGTGAAAGGTCAACAAAATATTATTCTCGCTGAAATGTTACGGATGGAAAATGTTAAAAGTAATTGAAATGGGAAAAATATAATTTCTGGGAGAAACCGGCAACTCAGCTGTAAAATTTTAATCAATTATACATTGGAAAACCCACTTTAGTCAATTACATTGATCATCTAATTAAAAAGTATAGCGTGAACTGTTAGAATAGACAGTACTGTTTATTTTCTCTTTTCAAACTGGAGCAAGAAGAAGAGAAATACTTGAAAACATTTTATTATTTCATCATTTCTGACTATTTTGGGGGACATTTATATTGAGCGGCATCATCGTTTGAAGTGGTGTTCTGGAAATATGTTTCGGGAATGTTGGCCAACCAACAAAATACATTTCTATGTTTCTTATTCAATTAGCATAAATTTCCACACAGAGTGCCGTTGTAGGGCCCTTAAAACATCAGTTCTCAGGGGAACGCAGAAGTCGTCGCACTCCTCTTCATAATCCGTGACCGTTATTCGAATCAATAGAAATTAGCTGCTTCGCGGTAAATATAAGCGAATACAAAAAATATTATGAATATATATTTGTATTGAAATGTAGTATATTTATTTAATATAGTATGTTTAGTTGGAAACCCATTCTTTCACTTTCGATGTGATTTCAGTAGAGAGAAGCACTTCTAATTGTAAACAAAATGACATCACTGCACGTCAACAACTGTAGAAGAGAGCAAGAGAATTTAAAGGGGCGCCTAGAAAAAGAAAGAGAGTCAAGCTAGGAGAGTCAAGCTAAGAGAGTCAAGGCAAGAGAGTTCGCTCTTTAAACTATTCATCATTTAAATTTGTTTCTTTCACAATATAAGAAAGTGGTTAACCTCTTAATCGGTTAAAACAATTAAATAAAAAAATATTGGCTGTCCTTATATTTTAAAATATTTTTATAGATTCATGGTATAAAGTCAGTACATTTATGGGTTGTCTTTAAAAGTGGTTAAGAAAGAAGAAAATGAAACCTCTTCTATGCTTATATTAAAAATCAATTCATCGCAATATTTCCGATGCACTTAAATTTTATCTTCTAATAGTTTGAAGTAAGTTTTTTTACTTAACACATGGCATTGCATTTTACGGCTAATTGTGAAACTTTATAAAAAGAATATATGAAAAATGGGATTCGGATGTTTTAAGAAGGAGTTAATCTCTGTAATATATAAAATTATAGTATGGTAATCAAATCATGCTAAGCAATATCGAAATTATATTGATTTTACTCCTACTTAGCTTCTATTCATATGATCTATAACTTAGATTTATCCAATTTTTATATGAGGACTATTTGACAGACGGACTTGGCTGGATATCTTAGAGGTGTTTATGAACATAGGTATATCCTTATGTGTCTTCTTTTTGTATGTTAAAGCCCGATATGATCCTACCTTATCTGTAAATTGTTATTAAAAGTGTCGGAGAAAAACAAAATTTATGCTTCCTGGGAATAGCAATAATTAATGCTGTCCAAAAACCAGTTGATGACAGTGTTATTACAGCAGAGCAAAAAATACAATTCAGAGAAAAAACTAGTTTGAGCACAGATAACAATCGAACCACAGGTCGAAAGCAAATCCAAATCCCGTGATAGTTTAGTCTACTTCAGCATGTCAGGTAGGAAAGATGGTACACAAGCCATCTGCTGGGTTGTGAGCTCTTGAATTAATTACGACTTTCGTCCGTCGACTTCTCCATGTCCACTTCCCACAGTCAAGGCCACGTGTACACTTTTGCTGCTCCAGGGCTTGGTTCTGGCCATGGCGAACACTGTTAGCCACTCAAAAAGTCCTACCGGGGAGGCTCAGTTTGCCTCGCAGCTCTATGACCAGTTGGCCAAGTCCGAGCCCGGCAAGAACATCGTCCTCTCGCCCTCATCTATCAGAACGGGCTTGGCTCTGGCCTACCTGGGCGCCGAAGGCAGCACAGCCGATGAGCTGAAGCAGGGATTGGGCCTGGAGGGAGCTGACAAAAACGAGGTGGCCGAGAAATTCGCCCAACTGTTGGCCAAAGGAGAGGAAAAGGAGGCGAATGGTGACGAGGACAAGCCTGAATTGAAGTATGCCAATCGGATTTACGTGGCTCAGAGGTTCCAGCTGGCCCAGACCTATCAGGATTTGGTCAGCAAAAACTTTGCAGCAGCTGCCGAAAATGTGAACTTTACCCAGAGTGCGGATACTGCCAAGCAGATTAACTCCTGGGTGGAGGAGCAGACCCATAAGCAAATCAAGGACCTTGTTACTCCGGATTCACTGGACGCAGATACGGCTGCCATCCTGGTCAATGCTATCTACTTCAAGGCCGAATGGCAGAACACTTTTCCCGAGTACACCACCTTTGCCCGCGACTTTGTCAATCACGGAGGTCAGAAGGTCAGCGTTGACACCATGTCCCAAGAGGATTACTTCAGGTTCGCCGAGCTACCCGAGTTGAAGGCAAAGGCTTTGGAACTGCCGTACATAGGCACGGATATCGTGTTTCTGATCATTCTCCCACAGGAAGAGCAGGGTTTGGCCTTTGTAGAGGAAAAACTTAAGGATCTGGACCTCAATGAAATAAGTTCCCAGTTGAAGAAGCAGAAAGTACAGGTGGAGCTGCCTAAATTTAAATTCGAGTTCGATGTCCCTCTACAGTCGGCTCTCGAGAAGGTAAGTCTGTAAATACACTGTGAGAAATACATGAAGTACTGAGTTAATGAAAGTAATAGGGCAAAAGTCAGTGCCATTTAAGGGATGCAAAATAAATTTTCGTTATGGTAAAGCTTAAACTTATTATATTAAATCAAATATGCCTTTAGCTACAAGTTTACTTAAAACATATTGATTTATAATACAAAACTAAAATACCCTTTCAGCTGGGCATAACGAAACTGTTCACTCACGAGGCGAATCTCAGCAGCTTGCTCCAGGAATCGGAACCACTTCGCATCTCTGAGGTGAAGCACAAGGCCATCATTGAGGTGAACGAGAAGGGAACCACGGCCAGTGGAGCCACCCGTAAGATAGTCAGAGAATATATCTTAAAGTCTTTATAATGATACTTTCCCTCAGTTATCAAGGCCCAGTTGGAGTCCTACTTAATAGGAGAGGAGATTTTCCAGTTCACCGCGGATCATCCCTTCTTCTTTGCCATCAAGGATGCAGAGAGCACCTACTTCGCGGGCCACGTTAACCAGCTCTGATCCAGAGTTGTGCGACAAGTTCTCCCTATTAATCCCTAGAACTCAATATGTTCTTCTGTCCACATCCAATAAATGCCAATCTACGATGTCAAGTGCATGGACATAAAGTACCGACAGGTAAATCAAGCCTGTTGGTTGATTAGCTTTTGGGTTGCATAATTCTGGCGTTTGCTGTTTGCCGTTTCTGTAATTAGAGCCATCCGAGTTGCAGTTGACATTGATAGTTTATTAAGAGGACTTGGCCCCGTTGAGCCTCCGATCCTGGCCAAGTGCCAGGCAGTTTGGCAGTCCAGTATCGGTCTCCTGAGTGTGTGTGTGTGTGTGTGTGTGTAAAGGGTAATAAATCAAAGTTAGTATAGCTATCAATCCATGACACAGCGGCGTAACAACAGCAAAAAGAGCCAGAACCGAAGGCGAGCTGCGCTGCAAAGAAGTGGCAATTTGAATGCCAGTGGTAAGTGGCCAAAGTCCACACACACACGCCCGCACACACATATATAGACAAGGACCTGCGGACTCACGGACACGCACATGGCCAAAAGTCAACAACTGTGTTGGCAATTTGCTGCAATCATCCAACAACACATCCTCTGGCTCCCGCTCGTCCTACTCCTGCTTTTCCCAGGAGCCGATGTTTATGAGTGCAGCTAAATTGTTGTTCTCTGTGCTTCGCTGGCTTTTTTCCTGGTTTCCTTTTCGGCGAGGATTTTCCGGACCCTTGACCGATGATGGCTTACACATATGTGTTGGCCCCTTGTATGAGTATGTGTGTACCCTCGAAAGTCCGCCTCTTGTGGCGGATATTTGCATATTTCTAAACAGGTGTAAATTAAATTTGACAAATTTTTGCGGCTGCCAGAGCATGTCCTTGTGATATCCTTCCCGCCCCGGGCAGCAGTTTTAATAACGTTTTGTGACATTTACATACCTCTGAGGCCTGGCCATGATGCCGGCCCATTATTCCGGTTTATTGTCGGTGAAACGATGCAGTCGTAGGGGATGTGAAACAATTAGTGCGGGATTTACGCACGTGTAAAACATTTTAATTAAATCCGTGCTGACGTGCCGCTTGGTTTTTCACTCTAGCCCGACAATTCCTGCGAATTTTGTTACACTTCCGAAGGTTGTGTGTCCCGTTTGGGCTCCAGCACTAATTGGTGGCCAGGGCGATGCCGAAACTTCGGCTGCGTTGTCACGGCGACGCTCAAGTTTCCGTCAGCAAATTGAAATTGAAATGACAACACAGCCAGGTGGAGCAAAGGCATCAACCGCATTGGGAGAAGCAAAGGAAATGCAACTCGCGCTTTTCAAAATAGGAAATTTCATGACAAGTGCCAAGCTGAAGGTTGAGCTGTGGGTAGTTTGGGTAGCTGGCTGGTTCGCCATGTTCGAGTGCAGTGAATTGGGTGGCAAGGAGGCTGACACACTTCACTGGGCAACAGCTCCCCAAAGGCAGCTGTCCTCCATCTTTACCTGGGCCTTTTGCTATTCCTGCCGCTGACAGCTCTTTGCATCATTTGCCAAATTGACGGGGAATGTTTGATCTGCTCGCCACCCATCAGAGTGAGTCAATTTACTGACTACTATTGCCCCCTAGTTCTCCGCAACAAGGTCCTTTGCAGCATATGCTGGATCCTTGTCAACTTAAACTTTAGTTTGTGTTTCCAAGCTGTGGCATATTGTTATGCTGCGTGGATCTGCAGTTTATGAATCCTTTATTAGTAGGGGTAGGGCAACCATGAGGTTAAATGTTATTTATAAAGCCAAAAGCCCCATCAGCTTCCTCTTTTCCTGTAGCTTAACATTTTTACAATAATCAAACAGAACGCACAATAAATGAATGAATGATGAAATTAAAATCTACTTACTATCTCAAAGTTAATAATAAAACTTCTTACGACAAATTACCTTGGATTAAAACGACACTGTGGCCCCTTTTTTAAGTCAATTTAATTCACGACCTTTTTAATAATGTTTCATCATAAATGGAATCTGAAAACCACTCCTTACAATGTGCTTAATAGTTTGAACTCTTTAATCAAATAATTTATTGTCAAGTTCCACAGCGATTATCAGTGTCCATCAAAGTCAAAGGAAATCCCAAATTAAATAAATGGAATTAAACGAGGATAAACTAATATTGGGTAATTAACAAAATAACAGTCTTTACCTTCCCTGGACGGAGCGGCAGCTTAAAACCAAAAGGCTTTAGGTGCAGAAAATTGTACTTTATAATAAAAATGTTAATTGCTGTTAAGGTCATAGTTTCATTGCATGATGTCCATGCACAATATTCTGATATATTGTCACGAGACTAATCGTTGACCAATGCATGGAACTATGACCTTAATAGCAATTAACATTTTTATTATAAAGTACAATTTTCTGCACCAAAAACAGAAAACAAAAAACAGAAAAGAAAAAGTGCTTTTTATTTAATAATGACTTTCAAGGAAATACCATTACCATCGGTACTGAACATGGAAAATGTCAGGTCCCCAGGTTCAAAATAAACAAAAAAGATAAACCTTTTTATCAACGTATTAGGTCAAATGCGTAATGGGAAATTTGTATTTTTATGTTTTAAATATTTAAAATTTAAGATTTAAAATCTAAAAGAATAAACTTCGATCAATATTTTAACAAAGCGGATTTTGTGTTGCACGGTAAGTTAACTTAACTTAATAATCAACAACCACCTACCATCTACTCTTCTGTCTCAATGAAAGAATATTATTCTGTATTTCTTTACAGTTTCTCAGCGGTATATTAAGTTGTCAAAAAAGTCTTGCGGTATAAAATTGGTTACAATAATGCGATTCAAGTCAAATATGCTCCGTTTTGTTCGATGACGAGATGCCAACTTCATAATGCCCCTCTCATAGAAGCCTTCCGGAGCGTGGCGCATCTTCGACCACCTCTACACCAGAACGAAAACGTTGATACCATCGTTGTGCGGTGGAAATGGAAACTGTATCGGGTCCATAAACTGGTCAAATTTTATTGGCGGCTTGAGATGCATTTTTGCCTTTATCGTAGTAGTACTGTAAAATATGCCGTATTTTCTCTTTATTTTGCTCCATGATTGCGACGCTATAACTGACAAACGACTTAAAAGAAAAGATAATCAATCAAACACGGGTTAGCGCGTGAAATGAGCTTTCTAAAAAGGTATAGTATGACCTGATGCGACGAATTAAACAAGAACTACGCGCTTTCAGCGCCAACTAGCGAAAATACCGCAAGACTTTTTTGACAATCTAATATGATCTGTTAGCATCGAAATAATAATTTTAATATCTTCACTGGATATATGCATACAAATTAATTAGTGGAAATACTAAAAATAAGCTATCTAAAATATAATATATGCCAGCACTGTGTTGATCTATGTTGACCAAAAATCGAAATATCTGTGATGTAATGTTGTACTTGGTTGGTCCTTTGGTAATGTCTGTGCCAACCACACGTTGGTGGGTCTCCGCAGGTGGCTGGTAGCCCAACGATTATTCTGCATCTGCAATGTGAAGCAGACAATTGTAGGGGAAAATTGTAATTGTAACTCACTTTTAAGTGCGTCTGACAACTTTGGTAATTAAGGAATTATGTCATGCGCACGTTTGCCATTCAAGAGAGCTCTCTCTGGGCAGCTGGTTGTGGGTGGCAGAGCATTTTGTGATTGCTCTGGTTACCTTGGTTTTCCTGTGTCACATTCTGTGTTCTGTATATTGCATTTTTGCAATTGGCATTTAATTTCGAAAGTTGCTAAGTTGCATATTGTGTTTATGCACGCTGCACTCCCATTGAAAAGGATCCCCATTGTTGGTGGCCAGGCCAGGTGAGACTAGAATGGTTCGGAATATTTGTGCATCGCGACCCTGAATGCCCAAGGTGTTCGAAAGTTTACACTTTCCCACCACCGCCCACAGAGGTGGGGCATACCACAAAAATGATAATAAAATCCCTGCTCGCTCCAATGGGCACTGGACACAATTTACCGCTCGTCCTCGCCCACAAAGGGAAGGTCAGAGAGGATGGGTTGGGAAAACAAGTTGCCGCTCTTCACATAGACAGCAGCTGCCAATGTGCGTATCTGGACGAGGCAGGTTAATGAAATACTCGGAACATGCCTGCTGCCAGTCGACCTGTCTCGTTCGCTGTTGCCAAAGGACATGATGAGAGACGAATGTCCTTTTTTTCTGCCCAACCAGTGTGTGCCTCTCAACTCGAGGCGTTGCAAAGTGCAAAAGTTTGTTAACACTTTGAATATAATACAAGCTATTGAATATTAACCATCTGCCCCAACTGGACAATGAGAAGCAAGCTTGGCATGGCCAGCAATTATCGAGCATACGCCCCATCGGTTGCTTCAGGTGCTCGCTCGTCTTTTGGCAGCTAGTGTGCTCTGTGGATAATTAACATTTGTATGTCAATATTTGTGGAGACAGCCGCAGGCATCTAAATGAAAATCTCCGCCTGACACGAGATGCTCTTTGCCTCTCATCAGATTTATTTACCATTTGAGGTGCGTGTCCAAACAGTCGGGCTTTTAGTGGCTTCTGGATGGGGTGAGGATTTAAATATGACAGGCCTTTAGGATTTCAATGGCATCTTTTGTTTGGTAAATAGCAAACCTGAATCTGAGGGTTGTGAAACTTAAGTTTTGACCAAGACGTATGACCAGTAATTAGATGCCAATTCCCCAAAATATACTTGGGGGGTCTATCCAAAATTGAACTGTCACAGGAATTATTACCAACTAACCGCAGTTGACAATGCCGGAGGGGCGAAGCCTCAACCTTTCCAGCAGGTTCGAGGGGTAATCCTCGACTGAGTTGGCAACCAAAAGCTCAGGTTGAGAACTTGGCTATTGTCAGCAAGGACTCCCCATTTGTCCTGCCGACGCCTGCGTTCTGTGGCTCTAGAACGTTTGTTTTGGTCGCAACCACAACCTGCAACACGTTGTGTTTTGAATGCTTTGGCGGCAAACACTCGTGGCCCGTTGGCTCTATAAAAGCCACTTCCCATGCTGGCTGCCAAACAGTTCCCAGCTTGATAGCAACGCACGCGCTTCTCAGCGGAAACCAAAAGTCCAGAGTTAAAGAGACATCAACTTTGAATGAAGTGTCAGGAGCGACGGTTACTTTTCTAGTCCTTCGGTCGGTGGTGCTCCTAGTGTCTGTCGCTCAGCGGCTTTGTGTGCTGGTGATTCACGAGAACATAAATCAGAAATTTAATCAATCTCACGTGCCGACTTGCAGTTGGCCACAGTTTCGTCGTTATTTCGGAGTGATTAAGTATACGCCAGGTAAGCCCGCCTAGCAGGACTACAAGCACAAATCCCAGTGACCTACTAAGACCAAAAGCTGGCGGCAAAGTCCGGCTCGGAGGAGCGTGCGGTCATTCGGAATGCGTTTATCCTGGCCACCGTCTCCTGCATTTTATGGCCACATTAAGGCGTAACCAGGGGCAGAAAAAACAAAGCACGTACTGAGTGCAAGTGCAAAAATAAAGACTTTAAAGTGCCTGCCAACGGGGACAAGTTACGATTATGGCGGAAAATTCAAATTTCTCGCAGGCCATCTTGCCGAATCCTGACTCCTGCTCCCTTCTCTCTCTCACTCCATCAGATCCAGTCCTAGGTGGGGTCTTCGATATCCAATTTTAACGGCAGCATTCGCTGGCATAATAAAAATTTATCGTAAGCGCATTAAATTTGTAGCCGCCGCAAGTTTCGCTCCGATCTCCTCATTTTTTCTTTAGGTGTAGAGACAAAGAGTTTCAGTCGCAGCAGTTAACATGTCTAAGTAAGCTCTAAGTTGCCTTTAGATCTGCCTTTTGTGTGTCCCGAAAGGAGGTGGTTGGGCGGATGAGAGCCGTGCCATGTTGTGCATTTTTATTACGATTACACAGCTCGCACATGCCAGAAAGCACTGGTGCGGGGCGGGTTGCAATCATCCCCTAGGAACACCTAGAAAATCCCTTAAGCGAAGGGTCCGTCATAAATTCTAAATTTGTCAAATAAATAGAAGGTGGAAAAAGCGCCCGATGGCAATACTCAATCCATTCGTGCACTGGTTTTGTGGGTCCGTAATCGGATTTTGCCATGTTTTTTCATCATTCATCTCATCAGAAAACTGCTTTATGTGGATTTCACTTTTATTCTTCACCATTTCGATACTTTGCTTATCAATGGACTATTTGCCTGGAAGGGGGTTATAATCCACCAAATGTATGTGGAGTAAGCCATGTTTGAAATCTTGTAACCAATTTGAATGCTTTTCTTTTTAGAAAACTAAAAAGTGTACAATATGGAAAAATCCACTTTTATAAAAGTTTTCATATGGCTTAAAGCTATTCGAAAAATAGCAGCAAAAGCCGTATTTCTGCGCTTGTAAGTTGATCAATCTTAAGCAGAAGCATCAATTCAACTTCTAAGCGCAGTTCTTGTAAACACATTCCTGTGGCTTCGTCATGAAAAGAGATACCTACAGTAAAGAGATGCTACTTTCTAAGGAATGGAAAATCTGGTGAAGAATATTGTTCTCTCAGCAAAACATTTCTTTCGTTTGATTTTTCCAAATTTAAAAGGGCAATGGCAGGACATTTTATTTGATATCATTCTTTTGGATTTCCGAAATGGCAACATATTCCCAAAGTATTTGTTATTTTTCTTTCTTCATGAATCTTAAAGTGATTCGAAATGAAATTTAGCAAGTCAAGACCTTTCTTCTTATGAAGTAACACCACGCTCCCTTACCAATCACAACCCCAATACCCAGAACAGAAGCTCCAGCTTGGGTCTTCTATGAAATCCCCGCAACGCTAAGAGCAGCACTTTAATTTGGATTCATATTTCGTATCGCATACAGCTCACTTTCGTGAAATTCATTCGCTTAATTGTATTTTTCCGATTGTTTTTCCAAGTATTTCTTAATTTTTCCTTGAGATGAAAAGTCAACAGACAGACGGCCAAAAAAAAAAGAGGTTTATATATTCCGTTTTTGTGCAGAAATATGAGAGTTCTGGGTAATCGAAAGCCGCAACTGTTTGCTTAACTCCCTCCGAGATTGCATAATTAATTTCACGTTTAAACCCAAGTCGAGTTTGACTTCTTAAAGCCGCCATCAGGTAGGGGAGTTGCTAGGGCTTAAGGGAAGGGGAGAGTTGGTTCCCCTCACTCTCACCTGTCGCCTTCATCCCTTAATGTATGTATACAGTCGCATGTAAATGCTTATGTTCCATATGTTTATGCTAGATTAAACGTTTTTGCTGCCAAACTGCGAATGGGGGATAAAACACTCACATACCTACACACACCCACACACACACATACACATACACACACCGAGCTATGCAGATGCCCCAGTAGGCATGCCAGCTTTTTTTTATTGTACCTTAAGTAGGGCCAGCTGTGTAGCTCCTCGGGGACTCAGGGACTAAAGGCGCTCACTATATCATAATGAAGTCTAGACCGGATGCCTGAAGTGCGATGGCATTTACCATAGTTTGCATTTCTCCGCTTCGCTCCCTGTGTGTGATGTCCTCCCGATCGAGTTGATATTAAAGTCAGGCCTTCGGAGTGCGGTTCATTAATCCCACGGCTCTTGCTGTCGTTTGTCATGGACAAAGAACCCCGTGAGGCAGCTCGTCTGTCCTGGCTATTAATTATGTGTGGCACTTGTAATTGATAAACTGAATGCCTGTGGGCATAGTGTTGTTCATACTTTCGGCACAGCCATCTGGATGTTGCAGTTCTTGACACCTTCAAGAACGAGCCATTTGTTGTGGCTCCTCTGGAAAGGCTACCCACTTAAGCATCGCTCATACGCACTGTGGTGCGCACAGGTTTATCCCTGAGAATTCCGACAGCTGGCGTGAATTGCAATCCGTATGCAAAGCGCAAATTGAAAATGCACATGAGTGAAGCAAGGAAGGGGATATATATACATACATGAACGAGTATGTAGCAACCAAAGTGGCAACTAAATGCTGGCGAAATGGCAAAACTGAATGCCTGGAAAATTGTTTTGTTTTTCGCCTGCTTGTTGTATTAAAATTAAAAGCACATAAAAGGTTCAAAGCTTCCACTTGGCCTGACAACGGGCCCTCTTTTAAAACAGAACGGGTCCTGGTCCCTATGTGTGAGTTCGTGTTTCCGCCTTAATGCCTCCATTTCCACTTACTTTAATAGTTTTTGCTCTTTTTCCGGGCGGCACTTCTGGGCCTCTTGGCCGCCAATGGCTTCATTGAAATTTTAGCACACACACTCGCCGTGGGATACTTGTGGGTGAACAGCCTCTTGATGCTGCGGTCTCATTTGATTAAAGTGCCGGACCATGTTTGTTGTCTTCCCCTCTTGGGCCATGATTATCATCTCGACGAGGATGTGTGTTTGGGTTTGTGCTGATTTTATGGTCCGGCGGATTTTCCTTTTTTTTTTCTTTTGCTTTTGGCTTTCCCCAACCACTTCGAGTGCCCCTTTTTTTTTTGGCCAGCTTTATTGAAATTTTATTGTACAAAATTGTCTCAACAAGCCGGGAGATTGGGACACGTTTGAAGGCACTTAATGACCATTAAATGCTTGCCAACAGAAATGTGAGGCATTCCTGGAATGCGAGTCAGGCCAAAGCAAATAGAAATCGCATTATATTAAAAGCAATTTTAACTTTTGAGACAAATGTCCATTTGGCTTACTTCCATTTGCCAGGAACCCAGGCAACCTGCCTCGAAACGAAAAGGGTGGAGCGCGTGCCGTGACTGGATTTTATAATGGATGAGAGAGAATAAAGTATGCCAAATGCGCCTCAGCACGGCGTATTTATACATTTATGCAGGACAATTTACAGTAATTGCACAGCGATTTCAAGACACCGTTCGTGGAAAATGCTTCCCTTCAAACCGGAAATTAATCTAGGACACCGTCAGCGATTTGCAGGACGAAAGCGGCCAGTGGGGAGCTGTTATGGCTGTCATGGCTGCTACGGCTCTTTGGGGCTGCAACCTAATTAACGTGAACAATTCAGTCACATTAACAATGCATACCCACGTTGAAATTGTTTATAATTTGATAACACGCCTGAGTGAGCAGGGGATCGGGGAAGCCGCCCGGAGTTTGCACTCGATCAAGTGGAAAATCAAAACTAAAGACAAGGCCAAAACAAGTCCCAAGAGGGGGGGCAAGTGCATTCCTAGACCTTCGGATTGCCCACCCAAGGTATCTGGCTGCCTAACCAAAACTTTGCCCAGTTCAATTTCAAAGTGTCAAATGCAGTGAGGCCAAACGAGCGAAACACAGTGAATGAAGACGGAATATCCTGAAAGTCCATAGATCGCTGTCATCGCTTAGCCAAGTTAAGAAAAAAAGTGCCTTGGTTATTGTCAAATCCCCACACTCATGACTCATGAGCAGCCTGTCAGAGCAGTCGAGAGGGTACACAAACTCACTGGATTTATGTGGGAAAAAATGAAACGCCATCAGCATATGCCTCACTGAATCACTCGCCATATACATGGACGTCCTCCAATCCACGCGCTGCGGCTGGGGCTATTGACAATCTCGGCTAAACTTCCGCCGACCGGCTGCCCCTTTTTGTTGCCATTTGTGTTGCCACCACCCATCTCCCGTTTCGCATTTTCCATTCCAAATACCAGGCCTGCGAGGCGGGGCAATCAATAAGTTCGTATATCCGTCAGCCTCCCTCGGATGCTCCAGTAGTACGCTGCTCGAGTGGATTTCTAAAAGTTTAGCAGCCGTTTTTTGCCATTTCGTTTTTCCAGCAGCGGTGGCAGCAACGATGATAATATCAAATCGAGTTCCTTTTCCATCGCTCGGCTCTGAAACATTTAAGGCGCGAAAGTGGCTAAGTGTTATTCAAAAATCGATTGCGACCGCGGCCTGCCAATCTCCCACCTCAAACGTGACAAATCGGACCAGCTTTTATGGGCTGATAAAGCAATTAATTTCAAATCGCCAAGGGCTATCGAGGGGGGGTGATATAAAAAAGAAATCAGATCGGAACCTGATAGGCAATTTGGAAAGGTCGAAAGATAAAATTAGGCAACATCATGGTCGCCAGGAGAAAGTCAAGGAGAGGGACACACAATCAGGCGCCTCATCAATGCCGATAAAGATTACGTATATTATTATGTTAATCGAGATTATGATGACAGTTATCAGCGCCTCATCAGACTGGGCAGGCGAAAGCTGCTCCGCCTCGTCTTGCGTCCCTTCGACTCGGGTTCCTTTCCTCCTTCTCCTTCCTCCTTGGAATCGCTATATATATTATATAAAGACCCTTCCCCACG